CGGGCCCTGGGAGAGGCCCGGGGTCGGCAGCGCCGCGCTGAAGGCGGAGCTGGTGAGTTCAGGGCCTCGGGGTAAAAAGAGAGGGAAATCCGCCGCTAAAATCGCTGCGGGCCGGTGGCAGGCGCAATGCAGTTTGTGCCTGGAGAACATCACGGAGTCAAACCGAGCCTTCCAGAAACTGCGTGCGAACAGAAGCGGTGACGTTACTGTACCGTCTCAAGGTCAGGGTTTGCTTTGCAGGGTGCCACAGCGTTTCAGAGGACTGCGAGCGATCTAGAAAAATCTGTTTTCAAGGAACGGTCGAGCTGCTGCATCAGAAAAAACCAGACCCAGTTTCCTTATTGAAGTAAAAGCAGGACTCCCCGGGGCCATCGGCGGGCGAAGGGCGGAGGATGCTGAGCAGCGCAAATGCTCGTGTGTTGAGTGCACACAGAGATGAGTGAACGGAACAGATCTTAAAAGAAGAAAAACACTAGGCAGCTGAAGAGTATCTTAGCCTCTAGGATTGTTCTGTTAGCTGAAAGCTTATGAGGAGGAAAGCACTTTCCTTTTCTTAGTGGGCAGAGAAAAAGAAGTATCAGAGGCAATAGGCCTGGGGAGAATCTCCAGAAGTTGTTCTCCTTCGTGAAGCTCTGGTGATGTTTGTTCCAGAGCGTCTCTTGGCAAACTCTCCTAATGTCAATGTTATTCAAACTTATATCGCCTGTACTTTGGGTTAAGCCCATTGCTTTTATGTTACCTGGAGTGAGCACATAGAACAGGTTAATACCCTTACTGCGTCGACTTTTCAACTCTACACAGAATATTGCTATGTTGCCCTCCGTCTTCTGTTTCCTAGACTAAATAATCCCATTCTTTTTTTTTTTTTTTTTTTTTTTTTTACAATTCTTTCTTCTCATAGGTCATGTTTTCTAGAATTTCTAGAATACAGATTTTGTAGTTTCCTCTGGGCTTTCTAGATGGTTTCTGTCATTCCTGAACTTCAGTGCCTAAAACTAGACACAGTATTTTAGCTAAGTGGTAGGTTTTCTTCACATCTTGGGTCTGCACATCCACTTAAACATGCTGGCATTGTGATTGTGCTTTTTGCAACAGCACAGTTTTATTGACTCCCGTTCAGCCTGGGAGCCACTATCGCTCCCAGCTGCTCGGCTCCAGACTTGCCCTACAAGGGAGTGCATTACTACCATTTCTCTTGCAATATTTGGCAAAAGAAATTCTCTCTAACGTCACAATGTCTGAAAAGTTAAATTAGCTTTGTATAAGATATTTACATAGGATGATACAACATAGTTGGCCCTCCGGTTGAGGTACTTCCCAGCTCTGTTCTAAAACTCTTGCCAAAAAGACCTTCAGGGCGCTCAAGGTGCTTTGTGCCATGTCAACAGCAAAGACAAGGCAGCTCTGCATTATAAATAACAACAGGAGGGAAGGTGATCCCTGGCTGATAGCTCTTCACAAGTTTCCAACACATACACACAGGTGAAACTACCCAGCCACTAGTATACTCCTGTTGTTTCAGTAATGAAAGTTTATTTCATGATATGGATCCAGCTTGTGGCTTTACCCAGTTAAGTGGGGTCATAATAATAATGCTTTGCTGAGCTAGCAAATCAGTGTTTGAATGTTAGCAAAGCACTTCTTGTGTATTTGCCTATGGCTGTGTGCTTGAAGGACTAACCTTGCAGTCCAGTATGCCCTCACAATGACTCTGATTTAAAAGACAATGACCTCAAATCGTAAAGAATTTCTGAAAATTGTGAAACGAGATAAGAATTTGGGCAGTATTAATTCCCCATTGTTGTTGTTCTCAGGCTTCTTTGTTCACTTAACAGTTACCTGTATGTTATGCTGCCAGATTTCTTCAGCCAGCAGCCCAGGAAGCAAACGCGGGCTGTGCAGCACTGCCCTGCGGCCCCTCAGCAGTATTGATGGGAATGGCCTGCCTGCCTTGACCAGTGCAGGACATAGCAAAGAAAGCATAGCAAAGGTCAGGGAGAACTGACCACTTTTGCTCTTTTCTTGAGGCTGAAGTGGGCAGGCTGGGCACAGAACCTTGCTGTGTGTAAAACGGCTGGGTAGCGTTGGGCAGGGCCCAGGGGAACGGCTCAGCACTTGGTCATCAGTACAGCTTGGACCAGGGCCCTTGCTATTGCAGCTGGAAATCAGAGCCTGCAGAAGAGGCAGTCGTGCCGCTACAGGGGATCTGCTGCCACAGCCTCTGAGCAGGAGCACTGATAGGGATGACCCTGCTGATGAAAGGAGTTGGGCAGGGCAGTGTCACGAACTCAAAGGACACTTTTCCAGCTCAGTCTGCGCATGGCTGATCTTGTGCCTACAGTCCAGAGAGTTTGCTCTCACTTGATTTGAAATGAAATCTCTGAGGAGCCCAGTCTGCCTGGGAGAGGTGGTAAACGTTCCTGCTAAGCCAATCAAGACTGCCTGCAGGCCTTGCTCTTTTATGCTGTTTGGCCTCCTTAAAGTAGCTGAAGAAACATAGCCGTAACACCTGTTTTCAGCAGTATGCAATTGAGGAGTAGCAACTTTCTTCCAAGGATATTTGCCAAAGCATTCTCTAAAGCCCCTCAAACAGCATGGTTCTGATTTTTACTGGAGAGTCTTAAGTGTTGCTAGAATACAAATATAAATCATTGTCACCCCCAGTTTTACAAAGAAAGAACAGAGACGAAGGCAATTGAACACTGACGTGTCCTCTGAATGAGGAACCAGTCAAAATTAGCAGTCACTTTTGAAAGCTGAAGCTTAAAGTCTTTTGTTTATGTATGCTTAACAAAAATACAGATATAAGTTCCACTAACTTAGATGGAAAGAAAGACTCCTATGCTGGTATTCTGGACAGTACTGACTGTCTAAGAGTGCAGTCTACTACAACCATAAAATTCTTCAATGGGAGCTGTGATTAGGGAAGCCTCCCCTTCTTTCCCTTCTCCTTTTTATAGCTCTCAAGTATAAAGATCTTGATAACTTAAAAAACATAGTTGTCAGAGTGATGTATTTTTCAGTGTCTTAAGGAGAATCAGGTAGTACATTGGCATTATTAATCACCGTGTAACATTCAAGATGTAAGTCACTTTCTTCACTGCAGTGCAATTTACAGTTGTAAAGAGAAACTTAGCTGATATTTAATTAGCCAAGGGTTGGGTTACTTTGTGCTGTGGAGAGGAAATTCACATTCCTACCATTTCAAGAGGAAGAAAAATAATTACACACAGATGTGGAATAATTTATTTGTTCTATATTGACTAGTGAAACCAAATACCAGCTGTAATTATGGAACCTGATTTCCTTTATTTACAACAGCTGAACAAAGTATCTAACAAGAGAGGTGTGGCCTATATCAGTAGTATAAACACTGTGTAGAGTATGTGATGTGTATTTGTAAAGCAACATGTTATTATCAATTTACTGCAAGATGTGCTGTTTATTTAGCACAAGTATATTTGTTGTTCTTGGTTAACAGTTATTATTTAGCTAGAGATAATGTGGTTATTACTTATCAGCTAAAAATAATTAGTGTTTACAATACCAGAGTAAAAACATCATACAAAGCGCTAGCTAAAAATGAGTTGGTTTTAAACTGTTGTAATTAAAAAGCAGTAAAATGTGTACTGTCCTGTAGGTAAGAGGCTTTTTTTCTTTGTGGCTGCCTTTCATTGTTTCCTTAGTGTCATGATATACCAGGGGTACACTCGACTTCTTGGCATAGGGTCATGGGACTGATTCTTCTGATCAGCAAGGGGAATCATTTGATTGAACCAGCCTTGAAAGTCAAGTTGCAAATGCTGGTTTCGTCTCCATTTTTTTCTATCTGGTGTGTGCTCTCTATCTCCTGCTGTGGTTTTTCTTTAGTTTTACTTTCTATTTTTTTGCTGAGGGAGGAGATATTACAGTTTCAAAACTTCCTTAAGTTTTGCACTTTGTGTTTTCACTCCTTTTAAAAATTATCCTTTTAAAGATTATTTACAAGACTAAGGGCTTTGTAAGTCTGGTTGCAGTGTCAATATGTGTTGCATACTGTTAACTTTTTTCACAACACAAATAATGTAAATGGAATTAAAAATCTACTCTAATAGTTCAGTGATCATACTGACATATGGACAGAAAAATTTTCTCCTGTTATGTTTGGCATGTTTAGTTTTGTAACACAAACCCTACAGAGAGAGCAGTAATTACAAACCTTACTACACAAGAAAATGTAACA